AAGCCGCTCTCTAGCTCAGCGGCCGTGCATTCTCGGGAGCGTCCCTCTCCCCTGCCCGCACCGCTCGGGAACCGCCGGGAGATGGGACCTCGGCTGCTCACTCGGAAGCGCTGGCCCTTCCTACGCGCCGGTCTCTCGGACATCTGCCCACCTGCTGGTCATTCGCCAAGTGATTCAAGCCACCTGACCCCAGGGGCTGCGGGAATGGAAAAAAAAAACCACACAAAACAGCAACGCGGGAGGCGGCCGCGACGGCCACAGGTGCAGGTAGGCACTTTGCATGTCCGCCCTCCGGGCCGAGATTGGACCAGGTCGCGGGCGTGGCGCGGCCTCGCGGAGTCTGATTGGAGAAAGGCTGTGTGCGCCGCGGGCGGCTCCGACTCCTTCTCCCCGAAGAAGCCGTGGAGGAGGCCGGAGACCGGAGACCGGAGACCGGAGGGCGGGAGGCCGAGGCCTTCGGCGGGCACCGGTGGACGAAAGTCCCGCACCTCGGTTTGGCTCGGTGGATAGAGCGTCGGCCTGCGGACTGAAGGGTCCCAGGTTCAATTCCGGTCAAGGGCATGTACCTGGGTTGCGGGCACATCCCCAGGAGGAGATGTGCAGGAGGCAGCTGATCGATGTTTCTCTCTCATCGATGTTTCTCACTCTCTATCCCTCTCCCTTCCTCTCTGTAAAAAACCAATAAAATATATTTAAAAAAAAGAAAGAAAGTCCCGCACCTCTCCCTCCGCCTCGACCCTGATGGATTTTCTCCTTCCTCTCAGGGCCCCCAACCAAGGCTACTCAGCTCCGACCGCAGTTTTGTTAACTCCCAGGCTTTGTTTCATTTCCAGGCACAATGTTGCAGCCTAAGGCGCTTTTAGTTGAAAGGCTGTAATTTTAACAAGTTCGCAGCATGCCCGCCGGGCGCTTTCCAAGCGCTTCTGTGGATTAGCTCGCTCATTACAGCAACCCTAGGAGGCAGGTACAGCTATTGTTCTCACGAGACAGGCAAGGAGACCCTAGCCCGGAAAGGTTAAGGGTTGCCCAGAGTTGCAGGGCTGGTAGGAGGCAGAGCCCAGCATCGGATTTGAAGCTAGGAGGTCTGACTCCAGCTCCTGCTGTCCTAACCAGCACGTGATACCGCAGCCTGCCTGCTTTGGGCTCCTGGAAGGGTGAGGATGTGACTTCTCTCAGGTGTGGAAGCCCAGGGCGCAGCCACCTGTCCGGGGAGTGCAGACCCATCCCTGAGCGCCGCAGAAGCTGGCCAGTGAAACATGTCAAGGTTCAGGGACCTTTAGCCCTGATCACATGCTCCTTATTTTTATTCATTGGACAGAAAGGCATAGACATAAGGCAATTTCACCATTGAAGCCAGATGTGCAGTCTCCTTCATCTTCCAGGATGCTCTTCTCTTTCAAAGAACTATTTTGATGTTCCCTCAGCTGGCTCATGATTCCTCTGAAGGCTGAGTATGGAGCAACGGTCCCCTGAGTATCTCTGTTCTGGGGACTTTCTGCAGTACATAAATAGTGAAAGACGCCGAAACCGGTTTGGCTCAGTGGATAGAGCGTTGGCCTGCGGACTGAAGGGTCCCAGGTTCGATTCTGGTCAAGGGCATGTACCTGGGTTGCGTGCACTTCCCCAGTGGGGGGTGTGCAGGAGGCAGCTGATTGATGTTTCTAACTCTCTATCTCTCTCCTTTCCTCTCTGTAAAAAAATCAATAAAATATATAAAAAAATAGTGAAAGACATAGACTAGCAGAAAGTAAGTTGGACGGGCTATTCCAATGCCTGACATAAAAATAAAAATGCTTTATATCGTTAATGTCTTTAGCATTCTTGGATTTATAAAAAGTATGAGCAGCAGCGTGTATCTGAAAGTGATGCATTTTCATATAGTATTGGGATTTGTTTTAGAGAGTAAATGTCCCATGCTAGCACCAGGACCAAACAAAGACAGGCCACCAGCGGTGAGGGAATGACAAAGGAGAGACAAGTTACCATGGTGCCACCTCATTGCAGCTGAAGACAGTGGGCCAAGGAGAGAGACCCTGGTCAGAGGTATCGTCACCTCAGGAAGATGTGGAGCTGGGTTACTGCATTGTTGATCCAACAGGTGAAAAAAGGAAGACATTTAGGAAAAAAACAAAAACAAAAACCAGTACTGCCAACTGGCTGGCTCCTCAGGTAGTGTGGTTTAATAAAGGGGCCAGTGTTTTCTTAATAAATGATCATCTAAAGACTGATAAAAAAAATCATTCTCTCCCACCCCTCCCATTTATACTGAACAATTCTGATATTTCTGTTGTGTTTTGCTAACTTAGTAACGTCTTACAAACAACGTTTGCATGCAGTAAAATGTACATGAAGACATGAGCACCAAGGACAGATTGGGGGGGTAGAGAAGGGCTGGGCATTGCAGACAGAGGACATGGCGTGTGCAGAAGCCTTGAGGTGGGAAGGCACTTAGGATTTTGGGGGAGCAGTGTCACCTGAAGCACTGCAGGATATGAAGCGGGAAACGGGGCTAGTGTCAGACAAATACAGCTGTGTTCTGCTTCTGTTGATCCAGGAATCCTACTGTTTGGTTCTGTAAAGGGGACATGGGCTGGTTCCACATTTCCGTGTTGGTAAGCTGGGCGTCCTACAGTGTTGATGCCTTTAAAGTTGACTCATCTACCCAGTGAGTAGCGGGTGACATTACATGTTACAGAATTTCAGTATGCTGAGACTGAGCAGTCATTCCTTCTTAATAATATTTCATCTTGTCATTTTTCATTTTTCAAAAAAATGGATGGATGGTTTGAGTAAAGATGCTTTACTTATTTTTCTTTCTTTTTAAAAATTAAATTCTCTAGAGAGTGAGTTTCTAGAGAGCAGGATTTGCATACTAGAAATGAAATCCAGAACTTCAGGGGTTAAGGTTGGCATCTGCAGTCCTCGAAAACCTCAAGTTGCACAGCCATGATTGATGTTTGGGGATAGTCCTTTCACTCTTTTTGCCCTATTTTCACATTTACTCCTTTCATTCTTACTCTCCCCTTCCCATCCCTTCTTTTTTCTGTGTCTTTTACAGACGCTTCCATTCTTTGAAAATTAGATATGTATCTCCCATGGCCTTTTCCTTTATAGTCACCAATGTACTGTTAGTTTAATATTTTTCTCCTTTCTGTACTAGTATGTTCACAGTAGTGTTGTTGGACTTTATTTATAAACATTTTAAATTTTTTTATTGATTTTTTTATTTTTAGAGAGAGAGGAAGAGAGAGGGAGGGAGAGATAACATCAGTGATGACATAGAAAATCATCAATTGGCTGTCTCCTGTACGCCCCATACTGGGGATGGAGCCTGATCCCTGGTCAGGGAACCTGACAGGGAATCTAACCTCGACCTCCTGGTTCATGGGTCAAAGCTCAACTACTGAGCCACACCAGCCAGGCAGTTTATTAACGTTTTAAATTTAGGCAACATTGGCTGATAACATACAAGTTTCAGCACCCACGTCTGAAGTTGAAACTTACTTTTTGTAGCATCTCATCCTATACCGTGTCAGGTTAACATGAATGCATATCTAGAAGTACAGCAATTATAAGCACAAAATATCACTGATCATTTTAGTTTTATACTTGAGTTAAGCAAGGCTGACCTGTACAGTGCATCCTCTCTCTGAAATTCAGTCAACACCAGCTGACTCTTCCTAGCACCCCATTCCTACCCCTTTGCGGTCTCTTGGATATTGTATGCTCCCCATTTTTCTTAAAAATTATTTGTAGGAAAATGTAAGGCCTAAGTCAAAGGTGATTTGCTCTAGAAAGGATTTCAGAAGCCAGAGGTCCTGCCAGACAAGACCACTGGCCACATGTTCATGGCGGGAGGATTTTTGGGACAACGAAAACAAGAGACCCATGTGAGCACCCGCCATAGTCACAGCTCTGCCCACAGATCTTTTCTGTTCCAAAGGAACCTGATTGTCCGTGCAGACCTGTGGGTGGGCCTAGGCATACGTCACTTCTGGGCTGTGCGAGCCTCCAGGCTATGACCCTTTGGGACCTACACTGAAGAAGAAAAGTATCTCCTATTAACCACTCCATGGGGAGTGAGGCCTCAGCTGGGAATTCTGTCCCTTTTGCCCCAGGAGGCTATGCGCACTGAAGTTGTTTTGGTGCCCAATTGTTTTCAGCAGATTTCACCCAGATCATTACCCTGCCACAGATGGGAACGGGTGGGGTTTAGATTGGAAATCATTTG